TCTTATACTAGAGACTCGATGCACAAAATTTGTGCAAGAGTAGGCCTTCCTTCCCCTGGCTGCCAGCACTGGCTTCCGGCAGGCAACCGGGACTCGGGCTTCCCTTGCAACCCTGGCTTCATCGAGAAGGTCGTCCAGAAGGATGCCTGGTCTAATTAGTATATTATGCTTTTATTATAGATATTCTAATAGCTTCAGTTCTGTATATATTAAAGGTTATGCACATGAATATATTTATTTTCTGAATAAAATGTAAACTGTATTTCATACTGTGGGTTTTAGCAAAAAAAATCAAGAAACTAGAATTTTTCAGTATTAATTTTAATGTAGATGTTTTTGTGTCTGATTTTTTTTAAAAACAACTTCATTGGCATAACTTCACATGCCTTACAATTTATCCATTGTGTATATAATTTTGAGAAACAAACAAAAAATCAAGTAATGATTAACGAAAAATTGGCATTGATGGGAGGTATGGTCCAGTTGGAGTAATAGAATTAACCTAAATCAGAGAAAAATTTTTCTTTCTTAGAACTTTCTTTTCATCTGAGATAACAATGGACGACATTTATTTAGCATTTGCAATGCTCAGTCATCGTTCAACTCAGTGTTCAAGTCCTTTCCTGTGTTCATGCAATTTTATTCCACAGAATGACTCAGTAAGGAGATATGTTTATAATCTCACTTAGCAAATAAGCAGATTGAAGTAGAGTCGGTTTCAGTACTTTGGCCAAGGCCTCCTAAAGATGCTGAAGTTGGGAACTGACCCCTCCTGGCCACAGGAGGTCAGAGTCCCAAGTTCCTAACTGTTCACTCCTTGACATTCTGAAGAAGATGGATTTCAGGATTTCTTCAACTCTCACCCCAAATCACTTTTGCTCATTTAAGATTTACTCACATGTGGGGCAGAAGCAGCTGCCTTCTAATCAAGAGGGGCAGGTGGAGAGTTGGTAGGAAACCCAGGGCTTAATTATTGATCCTCTCTGTCTAGTGACTGAAAGTCCTTGTTGACAAAACAGGTGGCACTACCCTGGCTGCCATTTAGCTCTTTGATTCTGTGACTTTCTATATAGATTCTCTTGACGTACAATGATAATGTTTCAATGATAAATACAGCAATTTTCTCTACTAAAAAGAACAAATGGATGTAGAATTCTTTTTCTCTTACACATCTACACTAATAAAAGAGAAAAATGGTAATTAGTGTACGACGCTACCCTTTTCATTGGCTAATCAGGGCGATATGCAAATTAACTGCCAACAAGATGGCGGTTAATTTGCATATGTAGGCACAATGCAGGGA